GGTGGGAAATGTGAATTTTGCATCCTGGTTTTTGGCATTCTTTTTTTTCATAATCTTGGCCTCGATGCCTCTTTGGTGGCTTCAGTCAAGTTGTTGGTCAGCACATGCCTGTATTACAGTAAACATTCCCCCAACTAGTTACCCTCATGGTAGAATAGAGGGCATGGAGAGGCTGGACCCCACCCATGCTTTAAGGTGGTCTGTACAGAGGCCCAGTAGAGGGACAATATGGCATAAATGAGCACTGTTGCTCCCAGTGCTGGGCCTGTTCTCTGAATCAGCAGCCTCATTTTGTTCGTCAGGTTCCAAGGCTCCCAGATCAGCCCTAAGGCCATCACCCAACACCTGTTGAAGTAAATGAGTCTTTTCATTGACTTAATGGGCTTTGGATCTGCTCAAAGTTCACAACTCAAAACTTTAAACGTGAAATTGGGTTTCTGGGCTACATTTTTAAGTGTGGCAGGCCATATAAGCAGATGTTTGCTAATATACACAACCAGTCCATTCAAAGCAGTGAAGTAGATCCACACTTTAATAGAAACAAATATTTATTGGAGAACTTGTTCACTTTGGATAAAACAGCAGGAGGAAATCATATGTGCTATGCAAAGGTGACCCATTGTACGGTCCACCAGGCTGAGAGGACAAGTATGATACACTTTAAAGACAACTGCACCAGGTGACTGTAGTAACATGGAAATACGCATGCACACTCTCAAATCGGGAATGTCATGATCTAGTACAGATTAGATGTAGCCGTGTGGCACCAAAAATTAAGTGGCAGTTGCTGTGCAGAATAAGAATCAAGAGCTCATTGCTTTTGACTTTTTATGTTGTGTGTGAAAGCCAGGAAATGTCGTGAATGGTGCTCATCCAACAGAAGCAGAACAGCAGGAGCTGTGGACTCACATACACAATTATTTTTTAAATCATTGGTTCCTTTAGGGTAGAAAAGGTTGTGATTCTTATGTGTCCATTTCTGTTTGTTATGAAGTTGTTTAGCCTCCAGCTGTGTTTAACCACATGACAGCTGCGGAGCATTGGAGGGACTGTATGTCCAGGGATAAACATGTGCCGTGCTGCTGAGCGTTAGCAGTTGCGTACTGAAGTTCCACTAACTCCAGGGGAACATTAAGGGTAACCACAGAACAGAAGAGGACCAGCAGCAATCAGGCTTAAAGGATGAAGCTAGAGAAATATCCACAAACTATCTGGATTAGCGGATGTAAATTCTTACATAGTTGCTGTTAAAAATTAAAGTTTTCCTGTGCACCACAACTAACAGCATTTAATTCCAGTCACTTACGGTAGGTGTTTCGACAGAGACTGAAGCGTTCTCTCTCCCACCTGCCCCCTAGTCATTTTTGATTAAAGCTTTAGAGAATCCAGTGGTATACCCCCAACATTCCTCTTGGGAATACAATAGTGTGAAATTGGGCATTGCTAGGAGGAGTTGCCAGATCTTCTTTAACCTAGGCCTTCCACTGACTGAGCGTTGGAAACTCGAAAACACTTAGCTGACTGAACAGATCTCTCTGTCTTTATGATTGTGTCTGCAAGGGGCTGTGCAAAAGTTTCTGTCCTCCTATGTGAAATGTCAGTAACACAACCCCTGCAAATTGTGCCCACGTCGGATGGTGATGCGTTGCTTATAAATGGATGTCAAAATATGTCGGTGTGGTGGTCAGAGGTACATAATAAGTTTATCACCTGGTTCCACAATTTGTCATATGACTGCAATTAATTATATAGATCTCAACTCTATATGTGTGAAGTGTGTATAGTACCCTCTCTCTCGTGTGTGTGTACATGTATATAAGTATATTGTGCACATACGTTTGTACAATCCTGAAAGTTTGTCAGTTGCTTTTGGATCCACCCGTGTGTGAGGGGGATATATAAACCCAAGCTCACTGTGGTTACACTGCTATTTATTTCGGATTGGATGCAGTGTTGTACACAATTAAGACCCTGTCTTGTGCCACTGTGGGGCTGGTTAGAGGTTAAAGAATAAGGAGGTCACCTTCCTGTATTGCCTTAACATGCTGCAGCCACCTTGTCCTTGCCTGGGATTTATTTTTCCTTTCACATTGAAGGTTATCCCTGTTTGCATTTTAATCTTCCTCACGGAGGTTCTCTTTGATGGACAGTTTGTGTAATAAAAAGCTCTCTTAAAATACACGTGCGCATGGATGAAAAGTGGCAGCAGCATTGCCCACGGCTTTCATGCAGTACATTTGTGGAGCTTAGGCCTGGAGATGTTTATAGCACTTTAGGTCTGTTTGTGAGTTTGGAGCCCTTCCAAAAAAAAAGAGAGCGAGACATATATTATTGTTTATAATCTGCTTTATTCTGCCAAACCTTTCCCCAGCAGCCTTGTGGATTGCTGTTTAAATCCCTCAGTGCCTTTAACTACCGATACACAAAGTGGTTAATGCGCATACAAACTAAGCTTGGCATCCACTCCAGGAAATCACTTTAATTGAGAAGCATTAAATGTTAAAATGATTAAAATATATAAAGCCACCACACCCTCGTGTAGGAAGGGCCTCGCTCCACAAGTGGTATAGTTCTAAATACTCCCGCAAGTGTGAGTAGTGTGTGGGCAGGCCCCTGAAATGGACAAAGCATTCGTTTTCCTGCGTCATTTATTTCATGCTACTGCGGCATAGTGCACAGCTCTGCTCTGTGGCTGGCGGTGAAAGGCTGCAAGCGGCTATATAGAAGTGCTAAGAGAGCCAACTGGGAGAAGTGTGGTAGGAGACAAGGCCTATTTTTATTCATCATTTCTGTTTCTTCAGGCACGGGAAGCCCTTGTCTCTCCTGTTCTGTTTACTAAAGCAGCCATGTGCTGAGGGCCTCCTGGAAAACCAATGGAATTCCAGCTTCCAAAATCCCATTCCTGGCACATCCAGTACCAGACCAGCTCTGCCCTCATTGATATCCAGTGAAATGCAACTGAGGGCAATGGGATTGCAGCGGGGTAGCTGAGAGCTAAGTTTGGCCCAGGGTGAGGCAGAAGCAACGCGCAGCACTGCTGAGGAACCTCCCTCCATGACCGGCACTCCAGTTATGTGCCTGGGAACGTGCTGCTCAGATGCTTCTGCTTTGTAGTAATGTCCATCCTGTTACTTAATTTCTCAGAACTAAGGTGACCAGATGTCCCGTTTTTAAAGGGATAGTCCCGGTTTTGGGGACTTTTTCTTATAGAGGCACCTATTACCCCCCACCCCCTGTCCCGTTTTTTCACAGTTGCTATCTGGTCACCCTACCCAGAACAAAAAGAATGAGGAGTACTTGTGGCACCTTAGAGACTAACCATTTTATTTGGGTGCCACAAGTACTCCTCATTCTTTTTGCTGATACAGACTACCACTCTGAAACCTGCTACCCAGAACAGGAGATCACAGAGTGAGTGAGGGGCTCGAACAGCCCCCCAAGAGCTGAGCTGTATAGAGGGAATGGATAGTGGCGGGGGGGGGGGGGGAGTTTATAAATTGACAAATTTGGAAACATTGTAAAGCCAGTCTGGCTGGGAAGACTTAGCCATGGCTACAGAAACAAGTGTCATGGTCCCTGTAAACATGGGCCTGCAAGGTGGGGGGAAAGGTAGCCAGTCAAACGGACGCTGTTTGGACCGTATGAAATACAGTTTGTGTGTCCGTTTTCCTCCTGTTCTACTTGCACTTTTATTCCCCCTCCCCCTTCACTGTGGGATCCCAGCTAGTGAGGCTGGCTTAGGTGCCAGAAGAGGAAGTGTCTCTACTTACCTGTTTACTCCCACCCTTCCCCTTCTAACACAGCAGAGGCCAATGTGGCGGCTAGTTGTTTGCTTCCCTCTCTGGGTGTCAGACCCCGCGGGTCTGTGCAGAGCTTTGTGGGGTGTGTTGAACAGATCGATTTTTAAAGTGAATATTGAGGCCCCAAAAGAGACCCTTCCTGACAGGACGTTTGAAGGCCTTATTGCCACAGCCTTTACTGGTTATGGTAGAGAGGTATAGGCACCCCAGACTCGGACCCAGCCCCCTTTGTGCTAAGCACTGCACAAACACAATGGCTTGACAGTGCCCATTTATTAGTGACCTCTAGTCACCAAGGGGTGCAGAAAGGAGTATGGTATAGTACACCCACCCCCCAACGCACTTTGCTCCCCTTAGCCTGGAATGGACTCCCGGTCCTCAGCTGTCATGCACCCCTCTCTTCTCCTTCAGCTGCATATCTTCCAGCAATCCCTTCTCCCCAACAGCCATGCCCGTGCTTTCCCATCCCTGTTAGCCAGGGGGATAGAAAGCTGTTTGAGGTAGGGCCTCTCTTGGTCAGTGACAAAAAATGTTTAAAAATGATAAGTCATTCGAGCTTGGATTTGTGGGATCGGTTCTCATTGCACTGTGAGATCTAGTGGCTTTGAAAAGGTGCTTCAGGGGTTAGGTGCCCAGTTCCAAGGAACTCAATGGGAGTTGGGTGTCTAATTTCCTTTCCCTTCTTTCAAAAATCTCAGGCTCAATTTCTCTGTGCCTCGGGTTCCCCATCGGTAATAGGGGGCAGCTAATAGACACCTACTTCACAGCAGTATGGTGAGGCTTAGGAATGTAGGAATGGCCAGATTTGGGAAAACAAGTTGTCCGTCTAGTCTGTTATCCTGTCTCTGATAGTGGTCGGCACCAAAGGTACTTCAGAAGATGGTGCTCAGTTCACTAGTCTTGTGAAGCTCTTGGCGATCCTTGGATGAAAAGTGCTACAGGAAGGGTACAGTGTTACGGCTCGTCTCCAGTCCGTGGGTGGGAGAAACTTTGATTTAAACTAGCGGCACAGAAGAAAAAGTAGGAGATATCAGCTGCTAAAGAACTTTCCATATTTATTTCACAGAGCTTTTTGTTTGGACCATACACATCTCATGCCAACGCACAGGAGGCATAATACAAAGAAATGCACCAGGTTCTGTTTTGCTTTCCAAAGACACATGGCAATAAGTACGTTTTTAATGATTTATTTTTTTTCCCAGGAAACAAGACTTCACTTTTGGAACTGTACAAAATTTACATTGCAATGGGTGGCTGTGGTGGACCGGGGAGGAGGGATCGTCGAGCTGTGGAAAAGAGCCTGGGGAGCCATACTACAGTAGAAACTGCATTTAAAAAAAAAAATACAAGCAGCTTCCGTGCTACAGGGTCCACGATGCTATGTTTGTCCTGGGTCTCTCTTCCGCGGACAGAGCAGGTGTCTGTGGGTGTGCGCCTTCAGGGGGAAGGCCTGAGGAGCGCTGAGAGCTCATGGTCCCAGGCGAAGCTTGCTGCAGGAAGCTAGCTCATTCACCAGCGTCTAGCAGAGAGGGTGGCCAATGTGGAGGTGCTGCCAGGCAGCCTGGCGGCGGGGTTGCTGAGCTCTGTTTTTCCCTCAGTCGCTGTGTCAGTGTAGTTGGAGCAACTCCTGCAGAGGAAACCAACTGGCAAATCCGAGCGAGAGGGAGTGTGTGCGGCTGAGGTGCTTTTCGTTTAGCTTTCAGCATGCCCAGAGCCCTTTGACAGCAGGCAGTAAACCACAGCCCATTTCTGCTTCACTCAATTCTTCTTCAGCCCACTGGTTCCAGCTTTTAAAGTGCAATGTTTAAACATGAGCATCTTCCCCCCCCCACCCACACCTGCCTCCACTGACCAGCGATGCTAGAGCAATGAGTTCTATGCTGCTTTGCCTGGTGAAGAGCAAAGAGCTGTGACAATGGGATGCCCTACATTAGAGCAGCTTACACTGGAGTGCTCTTTCTGAGGACCTGGCTCTTCAGGGGGCCACTAAGGGGGAGAGACAGATTACTGTGTGCTTAGTCAATGCAGTTTCTGGTTGAGCGGCAGGAGTCATTTATACCAGGCTTTAATCCTTCCTACAGGCCCCAGCCAATTTCCAGTGACTGGAGCCTGGAGGAAGAAGTTCTGGTGCCCAGGGAGTTCTCTGGGATACTTTTGCTGGTGACCTTATGGTGTAAATTGCAGGGGCAGCTGGCTACAAGCCACTTGAGTGGCTCAGGGTGGAAGCTACACTCATCTGGAACTCTGTGGTCACACTCTACAAGGGGCCGCACTTGCCAATAGGGGGCACCTGGATCAGAGCTTTGTTGCCTAAAACAAAGACTAGAGAGGTAAGATCGGATTTCCAAAAGCGCCTGAGGAGCACAGGGTCTATTGAAAGGCAGTGGGATCTGTGCTTGGCCGAATCTTGGGCCTTTTGAAAATCCATCCATAGATCTTTATGGAAAAGTCCTATAGGGTTCACTAGAACATGACACCCTTTGGCCATAGTAGGATTTGAACCATCCTTTAGAACTTGTACGCCAGCACTAAAAGCTACAGGAGGGTTTAAAAAATATCAGCTATCAAGATGATCTCATTTTTTATTAGAGTCTACAGCATCTTAGAATCATTTCTATTGAGCCCTGGAGGAAAGAGGAGGCATCGGAAATCCACTAACAAGAGCGCATCAGGGTATGGGTACACCACAACTAAAAGTGTGATTGACGCAAAGAGAGCTTTCATCTAGCTGTTGAGGGGAACAGTGGTAGTGAGGACATGGCAGGGCGGGCTCTGGCCTGGGGTAGCTGTCGCAGTACAAGCCCACCAGGGACCTTGAGTACATACCTGGGTTGCCAGCCCATGCCATGGTCCATGCCACTGGGTCTTTATTGCTATTGTTACCCTCACCAACTGGATGAAAACTAGCCTGGCTTATCTCCCTTCTGATGTAAGTGTAGGGCACACAAACACATTAATGTTGCACTAACCCCACCATGCCTAGGCTCAAATCTAGCCCTTCCCTAAGTACGCACAGCTCCCATTGACTTCAGGGACTGTTGTATCCCCAGCTCAATTTGACCCACAAAGAGTACCAAATTGGCACGTTATGCTCCTTTTTCTGACACACCCCTACACATAGCTTTGAGCACCATTTGAACCCCTACAGAATTCAGGCCATGTTACAGCCGTATGCAATACAAGGCTACATAGGCAGGCTGAGATTTTTCAAAGCCATTTAGGGGGAGAAGACACCATGTACCATTAAGAGAGGGGGTCACTAGACAAAGCTGAACATCTCAGCCACGTTATTTCCTTATACTTCTATGTTCTGGGCTGGAACTGCTACATGCATAAAGCTTCTCAACTCCCTGTTGTACACTGGCATTGTCCACTACTTGTATACAGTTCTCTATTTGCACGTTTTATTGCTTGTAATACAGTTAAAGTAAAATCTTTCCTTTTCTGATTTTGATCTAACCTATTTGGCATAAATGGTTCTCCTCTCTTCCCTGGAGCCATTTCTGCTCACTAGTGACATGGCTTTTTTTTTTTTTAATTTCACCAGCATCGTGAGTGATCCCAGCCCAGCTCTGGTTAGTCAATTGTGGTTGTGTAGCCTCCAGAGAGAGGACAGAAAATTGGTGGTTTGGGGAAGCCCCGGCTTTTGTGTTTTAGATTCATTCCTGCCAAGTTAAAAAGGTAAAACTGTAATAATGCAACCCAAGCACTCCTGTTCCGCCAGTAATAGATCATTGTCAGAACAACTCAGTTCAATGCTCCTTTTAACATGGAAGCAATGAGTTACTCAGCGAGAAAGCTGGGGATGTCTCAGTACCCCTTCTCCCTAAAAAACTAATTGTAAAGAAATTGCAATGAATAAACATTGTATCTGCCTCGTTCCTTAAGAGAGATGAGGAAACCGTTTTGAATGTGAACACGTTCAGAAAATTGATGGTGAAAATGGCACCAGCTCACTCGACAGATCTGAACATGCTTGGGCATTAGGTCCTGACTGCTTACTGGTTCATGGTGAAGAATGCTTGATTTCTGTTTAGAACGGCTGAACTGGGAGAGCGAGCTGGATTCCTAAGGCATCACCAACTCCCTTCAGCCCACAGGGTCATTGTTATAGAAGAGGCAGGAAAAGCCCAGCTCTGTTGTGACACGCATTGGTGGGAGGTAGGTTGAATGTGCAACGCTGGCTTTCGATGCCAACTGAGCAAATCTGATGTGGAAGCCCCAGAAAGAGCAAGAGAGTCTAGTTCAGAGGTGATGTATATGTTAGGTTCCCATTCAGTTGTGTGGCCCAAGCCAGCCTCCACTGAAGTCAATAAGCATCTTTCTATTGACTTCAATGGAAACTGGGTTGGGTGCTTAGAATCCTTTAGACCTGCTTGCACACAAATTAATGCTATGTCAGGGAGTCTGAGCAGGAGGACCCCAAATGCTAAGGAGCCAGAGAAAGGTATTAGATGGGATATGTGAAAGAAGGGGATGGGGTGTTGTAATATACTCACATATACAGCTTCCGCCAGCTGCTTTTCTAGCTACCCTCTGCTCTCTCCTAGCTCTTTGCTGTAGTGACTGTCCCATCGTCATAGCTGCAGCAGGGGATGTGGGACAGGAGAGAGCCCTCAGGGAGCTGGTCACAGGGCTTTGAGTCTTAGCGCAGATCTTCCCAGCTGGTGGGCTGCTGTACCCTATGCACCAGGCAACAGTCCCGCAAGGGACCATACACCAGCTGGGATAAGCAGAGTGCAGAATGCTCCAGCCATGCACCTGAAATGCCCCCCTGCCCCAGAGCCAGGAATGTCAGCTCTGCATCAGCTAAAAACCCCTCTATGCCAGGGAATTCAAAGCCAGGCAGATCCAGCTGCTCTGGCAGCACAAAGGAATCTGGCTGTGGCTAGGGCCCCTCTTGCTGCCATTTTTAGCATAATTTTCCTGTCTCTAAGGCCCTTGGGACCACAAACACTGTGTTTGGCTAAAGATATTTGATCCAAAGGCTGAGTCCAGCTCCCCCTTGGCCGTTAGACATGGTTTGGCTAGGCCACCTTTTGGCTCCAGCCACGAGGATTGATTTGAGACCTGAGGCTATGCTGCGAGTGGACCGAAAGCTGACCCCATGATGGAACAGGTGAGTTGGCATTGCTGCTGCTGGGCAAGCACAACAACGCAAGCCTCCCTTTGCGAGCGCTACAGGTGACATACCACAGGCGCAGCCCCCGGCAGCAAACAGGAGCCGTGCAACCAGAAGAGTTCGTCCACTTTCCAGATCAGCCAGCAGGAGCGCTCCGAGTCAGGCTGGGAAATCCCTGTCAGGGCTCTCCTGCCATCAGGCACTGCATTTGCAAGGTGCACAGCAGGTGTGTGAGTGAAACTGCAGGGCATGCTTCAAAGCTCAGGTGACAGGGGCCACTTGGAAGGGGTGCTCAGTGTGAAGCAGATGGTCTGTGAGATCCAGCAAAGCTGGTGAGGGAAGATCCAGCTGGCCCCTGGAGCCTCCAAGCATTATTATTAACCGTTCATAGGTGCTGTACAGATGGAGAGAAAGACACAGCCCCTGCCCTGAAGAGCTTACAATCTAATACCAAACCATGCTGTGCCAATAAAGACCTTTCCTCTTGAGCTACGTCAGTCTCTCCAATGATTCCAGCCTACCCGGCCGGCCCCAGACAGGATACTTGAGGAGGAATGGGGACAAAATCATCTTCATCCACAATAAAAGCTCCGAGTGGGGAGAAATCCCAGGAGAGGAAGCGTCACTGAGCAGCTTTGACCCTGTCGTGGTGCACCTGTGTGTTCGGGATTGGGCTACTCAGCCACAGCTCACCTATTGGAAAGAGGATGGGTCCTTCCAGCTGCTCTAACGCCGCAGGCTGGGGGGAAGAGGGGCCCTGTGGCTTCTGCGGATGCATGTGTTTTTGCAAGAGCCTACCAGAGTGTGTGAAGATTTCCAGATGAGCCTGGAGCTAAGTGTGCAGCCCCTCTCAGGTTAGCTTCTCCCTTGCAGCGTCTCCTATTTGACATTCAGCATCTCCATCCTCTAGCAAAGAGCACTGTAACACCCACAGAGCCAGCTGCATGTAGAACATCCGTGCACTCTCCCGCAGCACTGAGACAAACGCAGCTTGGGGGTCACTTCCTGGTGACATGAACCCGAGGAATAAAACCCCTATGGTGCCATGGGCAGAACCAGTTCCATCCTTCAGCTGAGCTGAAGGCTTCTGAACAAAACAGTCGGGGTGGAGCTATTGGCTATAAATTAATGGAGCAGTCCCATTCCCCAGGAAGCAGGATAATAATCTCATGGGACTAGGCACCCATCTTCTCTTGCACTAAAATAAACATACTGTGTTTATGTCTCTACCACAGACATCTTGGCAGCGTGGAGTCACATTGAAACCCAGTAGCTAAAAATAACCCTTGAAAACAGAAGATGGCTTTGCTGTCTCTTTTTCACAGCAGGCTCGTCCAAAGGAATCATGCACTAGGTGGCTTGGTTGGTTTGAGAGCCATCTTCATCCTCACCACCATTTGGCTTTATTGATTGTCTTTCCATTACACTTTCTCACTATTTGACTTGCTGTCTGATCAGCGGGCGGCCGAGGGGCTTTATCTGTGAGGGAGCACATGGCCTTCTACTAAAAGCAAGAAAGTATCAGTTTATGCACCAGCTGGGTGGAAAATGACCATCAGGGGATGTCTTGAATTATCTCCCATGGACGAATTCCAGCCGACCTTACTCAGGGGCCTAAGAATGAAATCACTTAGGGATTGTCTGCACTGGGAAAACGTATTGTGTTATAATATGTTAGCTCCGATAGTGCAGCAGTGTGGTGTGGTACCAGACTGGGAGTCAGGAGACCTGCATTCTAATCCTGGCTCTGCTATTAAATTAGCCTTGTGGCCTGGGGCACATCCTGTCACCTCTCTGTTTCCCCTCCCACACATGATCTGTCTTGCCTAGTTAGACTGAGAGCTCACTGGGACAGGGACTGTCTGTACAGTACCTGGCACAATGGGACCTCTGGGCTCTACTGTAATATAAACGTTAATGATGTAAAACATGTTAGCACTCAATGTGGACAAGGACTGTTGGGGTTAGATTCATATCAGCTGATAAAGGTCATTTCCAGAGTGTGGTTAGTCATGACCACTGACATGATTTTGAACACTGCAGTTATTGTGGGGTTAACACATTCTAACACAAGGTATTATCCAGTGTAAAATCTCACCCTTATGCAGAGGGGCCAGTACAAAGTCTTTGCACCACTTAGCCTTATACTGAGGGCTTAAGTGGCACATAGCCCTTGTGCTGGCCCATTGCACCTGGGTAACTTTCACCCATGGTACTTGTCTAGTGCTTTGATGCAATGCTTGCAGTAGGACTGCTCCTTGGCCTGATAGCCATTCAACCACATTCCTGAACTTTTTTATCCAAACAGCCAATGTTAATATTCAGTGGAGAAGGGAGGAAAATCACATTTTTATACTGAAAAAATCTTGATAACTTTTCTCCCCCAGGGTTGTTGTTATTTACTCTGCCCTTTTGGGTCAGACCCCTGCCCTTGGTAAAGGTATAGTGCTTGGTAAGCGTGGCCTGGCTTTGGAAACGCTGCATTTCCATATCTATGGGGAAGGTCAGTTCAACTGCCCATGCACAGTCCATTCCTGATAAGAACAAGGGTTTTGGAGGCATTTATAATTCGTTCAACTCCAAGTAAGAGAGCACCAACTGACCTGGAGTTCATAATAGCCAAGATCTGCTGAGCCAGCCAACCTGTGCTTCAAAAGCACTCAACAGCAAAGAGTCTTTGACCTGGAGAGAATCAATGAGTTTGTGTTTTACTATGAGCCTGAAAACCTAGAACCAGATACTTTATGCCAGTGTGCTGTGTTCAGAAGGGTGTCTCCTGCCCTCCCACTCCCCAAGTGAAAAGGAAAAAAACCACCACGCTATCATTTCACAACCCTCCAGGAGCCAGTGGTGGATTCCCATTGAAAATAATGGAAATTTTCCGGTGCAATATGTCTGGGATTCTTGAAGGTCGCTTGTTGTCTCTTTTGCTAGTTTGAGAACACTTTCAGGCCAAAAGAATGAGTGGGACGGGGTGGGAAGCAGGAGATACTTAAAAAGGAGGATGATCCATTTCATCAAGCCAAGAAGCAGGACTTGTTGGAAAGTCTGGATAGCCTACACTGCTTCCTGTAGAAATATCAGAGGTTGGTCCCCCAGCCATTGCTCTGAGTGTCTGGCTCACCCCCTGCCCTCCATGTGCTATAATTCCCAAATTAGTGTCCATTGTGTAATCCAGACCATTGAGCAATGGAGTATGGGCAGGAAGGGACGATATGGAAGATGGAGACTGAGGAATTCCATAGGGGCTTCCATCCCTCAAGTCCTGGTAAGATTGTCCTGTCCCATCCATGGAGAAGCTTCCGTTCATTAACTGTCCACTAGCAACATCCCCAACATTGCTGTAAATTCTATTGGTGTGGCCAAGCTCAGAGAGGATCTGATCTTCTGTGAATGAAAGAAGGAAGATTGATTTATGAGTGTAAAATATTCTGTGGTCAGTCAGGGCCAAACGCATTTCTTGAGTAACTTCACTGGAGTCAGTGGGGTTACACCAGGAATGAGCTGGGCCAACAGAGCACATACTCAAAGGAAACTGTCCCTCACTGAAGGACAGTTGTATGGCATCCTGAGCTAGATTCTCACTTGACACGAGCTGGGGAAGCTCTGTTGCAATAGAGCGATGCTAATTTACACCAGCTGCCAATGTGCTCTCCCTGCTCTGCTTAGTACTTAGCCAGAGGAAATAGTGCAACTAATTAAGAATACATTCTGAATGGTACCACAGCTTATTTCTACCCTTTTGCTAACCCCACACACCTCCCTCTGTTCTTGTAGTGCCTTTTGTACAGCTGAACACGAGACAGGATTACTGTAAATCTTTTATTCTTCAGTCATATGAAAGCTGGTGGCACATAACGGCCTCTTTTTGGGAAGGTCTCTTGATTCTCGCCAGATGCATTCGCCCTCATAAAGGACATCATAAACTAATTATGGATCAGGCTTGATACACAGGCACTACAGACCAGTTTGGGAGCCATAGCTGGCTCTCATTAGACTAGAAATAACCAAATAATTTCCGGTGGCTTGTATATTTGCTGCGATGATTCAAAGGGAGCATTTTAAAGTTAAACTATTGTAAAATGATTGCTTTAAAGTTATTTTTTCAACTAGGTCAGCACGGCAGTTCTTTTTTGGGGAAGTTCCCCTGGGAGCTGCAGACCCTTTGCTGGGGCTCAGAATGGACACCCCCATGCGTGCGTGTCAGTTCCTAGCTCCATTGCTAGAGGGGTTTCTGGCCGTGCAGGATACAGGCCAATAATTAATCATTTTCCTCTAGTGCAGAAAGCCCCAAGGAGCCACCAGCCATGAGATTAACTCGTACATCTTCAGATGGGACATCGGTTTCAAGAATCATTCCCGTTTCTGGTGCAAGAGAAATCCAGGCATTCTTTTCAATGTGGGATGCTGAACTGTGCCTAAGCGCAGGAAATCATCCCACTCTGCAGGAACCCATTGGGGCCCAACCTTTGCAACCCATCTCTTCCCACCTTCACCACCCCCCGCCCTCCACCCGGCCTTCCTGCCCCGCTCACCTCGGAAGCTCAGCTCACTGTCACTAACCCCACAGTCCTCCGCAGAGCTCTCCTTCTCATGTTTGCTGCCCCCGCGGGTCCTCTTCACGCTCTTGTAGAACTGGCCCCAGCGATGCCGCCCAGCATCCTTCTTCAGCCGTTTTTCTTTGGCCCGCCTGTTTTGAAACCAGACCTGGAGAGACAGAGTCCCAGAAGGCACTGAAAGGAGCACGTGCAGGGAGAAAAAGATTGGCCTGGACAGAAAAATTCAGGGCTGGCTCCGAACCTCCCCGAAGTTCAAGATGGTTCAGACCCAGGAGCCCAGTTCCCCTGCAGTTTAGGGCGCCAAGGCTGGTGGATTCAGAGATGAACTTTGCCCTAGTCTGAGGGGTTCCAGGTTGGATACAGCATGTAGAAATGGGCCCAAGCCACAACACCCAGATCCAGTTCTGCATCCAAACTTCTCCAAGGCTCAGACCCAGTATTCAGCATTTCAGGCCCACAGAGTGGGTCAGTTGCCTCCCGCTCAATGGCAAATCTCCTTGGGATATGCATCCAAACATGCAGTACCTGTTTTTTGCTGGCATTGCAAACTCACATCTAATTCACTGCTTACTGCTAATAAACAGGGAGATTTAACTCATTGGTTCAGATCCTGTGCTATGATCAAGGTGGTGGACAGATGCATCCCCTGGAGCCCTGGGGCAGTGCACATGCTCAGGAGTCCAGCCACGGGCTGTCAGTCACAGGATGGGGGCCTTACTGCTTATCCAGCTTTCTGGCCTGGCTTCCTTCCATGCTACCTTGGAATTCAGTGCGGGGGTTGTGCACTGTCAGGGGAATGTGATGTGCACAGCTTGGTCGGGACAAGGAGGGAACGGAAAAATACTGCAGCGGTCTCACCTGCACCACTCTCATGTCCAGCCCTGTCTCCGAGGACAGCTGCTCCCGCACGTGCCTGGCGGGTTTGGGGGAGTTTTTATAGGCATTTTTTAACGTTTCCAACTGTTTGGCTGTGATGGTGGTTCGTGGCCTCTTGGCTCCAGCTTCTGAATCATCTGGAATAGAACAATTTCTTACCAGTATGGAACGGATAGCACAAAATAGAAGCTGGCCAATGACCAGCACAGAAGGAAAGTCAAAATCTAAAGCAAGATGCAGTTGATTTTAATTAGCCTTAGCTGCGGCTGGGAGGGGTGGGGGTGGAAGATAGGGGGCTTGCAAAATTCAGCCCTCATTTTTCAGTGACTTTGTCTTGATAAAACATGGCCTTCCAGGTCTCCAAGGACACAGTGTGACGATGCTCCTCTACAACACAGAAAGCCTATCTAAGGTCCTTATCTGGTCCCTGTGACCCTAGTATCTGAGCGCCATGCACTCTGTAATGTATTTACCCTCACCGCACCCCTGGGAAGCAGGGCAGTGTTACTATTCCCATTGTACAGAGTGGGAACTGAGGCACAGATCCTCATAGGTATTTAGGTGCCTCACTCCCATTGATTTCCCTGAGGGTGAAGCACCTAAATACCTTTGAGGATCTGGGCCTAAGTGACTTGCCCGCACATGAAGTTTGTAGCAGAGCAGGGAGCTGAACATGGGGCTGCTGAGTCCCCGTCTTGCATCTTAACCATCAGCCCATCCTTCCTCTCATAAAGATGGACCTGAGCACATTTTAATCCCTTTCCTTCCAATAGAACAACTCATTTTAAAAGTTTCGTAGTCTACCAGCCAGATTTTAAAAAGGGGTCTCATTTATGAGTTAGGGCAACCCCTCAGCTGGAAAAAGTTCATTGCTCCCACACGTTAGGCACATATCTGGTGGTCATCGCCAGTGTGGACATAGATGGTGGAAGTGGTGCAGTTTTTCTATATCACATAATGTTTAAACGTTATTGGGCAACCAAACCCAAAAAAATCATAAAATCACAAAAAGGGTCATAACTTGAAGAAACAGTCTAATTTTGACCAAAATTGGCAGAAAGCTTTTAAATACAACTGATCGTGCAACTATGTCCTCAAACTAGTACTGTTTTGGAAATTTGGGGAAATATTTTGTCCCATGTGATATATTTTATGCATTTTCCTGTACTTTTTTGCCTTCAATTAAAGCAAAAGTCTGTGGTCGCACAACAGTATAAGCTTTTTTGTGCCATGTAATACATCTAAATATTTGTCATTATTTGTAGAAAAGTTTTTCTGTCTGCTATTTTATGAATATTGGCTACTGTCCAATGACTCCTCCACTGACAACTGATGTTAACACAGTGCACACCAGGATGAAATGTTTTCAGGATATGTTCCACTCTCTGGGCCAAGACTGGACCTGTGTCGTGTATGATGAAGCAATCTACTGCAAAGCACTGTTAATTAAATGGAGGAATCAAAACAGATTTGATGATGACCACCTTGAGAAGGGAGGCATGCATCATGTAGCAAATGTCATGTGTGATACAGGCAGTGTGATGCAGGAGAATGGGTTTGAAGACATCCTTGTGGAAGCCAGCATCTGTGGTGCTTCAGCCATGCTCTAAGAGGGAAAGCATATATCCATGGCATTAGAATCCACAAACTTATGAATGAGGCGATGACTCACTTGAAGTGGGTAGCACTTGGCGATTCCATGCACAATGATGATTCTTCCAGAAGATGAGAAATGACACATCTTGGAGAAGGCTCGAACATGCATTGAAGCATTTGAAGATGTGGAGCAGGCTCACTGAGAACACAGATTGGAAGCACAGAATGCTCTGGCAGACTTGATGAACAGCACCCAAGCATTGCACTGGCTCATGGATACTTCCGATACTCAAGAAAAAAACTGTTCAGATACATTTCCATCCTGGAAAAACTACATTGCTCCTAGTCACTGATGGATTACATAGCAGCAAAGAGAGGCAATAACAAGTCCATGGAGCTTGAGACATTTGCAGAGATGATCCCACTATGACAGTGTGGTCATATGAATTATGCCAGATGGGTTGTGTAAATGTAGCAGAAGCCAGATCTCTGGAGGAGAAGCCAGATATAGATTGTGCCCAAGCTGATAGGAAGAAGTGTACCAGACTCTTCAGTGGGGTACTTACACCGTGACATGGCCATTGAGCAATCTCTGAACGAGGCCTGTAGGAATCATCAGCATCTTTGCACAAAAGATACGACTCTGACCAAGGATTACCTGACTGCACATTTTAAGGCAGCTGTAACAGCTGTGACAAAACAAAGGTGTGGAATTCAGCCTTCGATCTCCACAAAGAAGCTACCACAAGCCCATGGCTGCAGATGAAATTGCTGTCCAAGGTATTATGTTTTGTGACCTAAAGAATGACAAATCCGTTTAGCACTGAACCTGGAACAAGCCCACACAACAGTCACTTGTGAACATTGCAATGTCTACTGTGGCTCCATCTGAAAGTACAGGTTTGTGCATGATAAGAGAGACTGGCACGCAATAAATGAAGCCGTTTGTAACCAGAAGGCTGCAAAGGGGCGAGGGAGACCTCTTTGAGCCCATAGAAAGGCATAATTTCAAATCATTTGGTAGTCTCAACAAAACAATCAAACAAAAGAAGAAGCAGTCAGCACAAGCGATAACTATTGATCGTCAGATATTCAGCAAGCTGACAGTTTTTTTGCCCAGTCCAGAGATGTTGATATCCAGGGTTTGATGACACGTGAGCTGGCACCTGTCCCACTTTCCCTCTTCAACTTGGGTGGATCGCTAAGAAAGGCCCAAAAGAGCAACACACTGTCTTGGCTGGAGAAAAACCTGTCAATGGTTGAGCTACCAGCATCTGATGAGCGAACGTCAGCTATTCTTGAACTCGGGATGCTTCTGCTGATGGTGTGCAATGATACTGCCAAGTGCAAAACTACTGGGGAGCTGTCTGATCAGCTGCTGCACACTATCCTCAGACTGCAATGTCCATACACTGCTATTGTGGGGGACAATTATGCAAATGAAGAATCAATCAAATCTGGTGAGAGAGCCCACAGGGGGAATGTCCAAATGCAAGACGTTCGGAGCCCCCACTGTGTTCACACCATTACCAAAGCAACGCTTGCAGATGATATAAAATTCAAAGAATAAATCTAACATTGCACGTTTTCTCCTCCGTGACTGGCTTGTGAAGTGTGGACAGAGATTGTCACCTGGTCGCGACATGTACTTTGCTGGTGGGTTTCACCACATTGCACGTGCAGTGAAAGCAGTGCCTGGCAACCATTCTGCAATACCAGAACCAGAGGAAGCAGATTCACACATGTTCTTGCACGTTGCTCATGCAAAGCAAACACTCGGAGCAAATGGGGTGCTGATGTGGTGCTTGGACTCAGATGTTTCATCCATGTACCCAAAATATTGCTCTATTCTTGGGAGAGATTAATTCTTTTTCAAAACTGGGGTCAGACAAAAGATGAGACTCATTCCCATGAATGGAGTGGCTGGAGCTGGGAGTGGACGTGTCTCAGATGCTGCCAAACATTCATGCTGTCACTGGTTGTGATGACTCTACTTCAGCTTTCAGTGGCATGGGGGAAAAGAGATGGCTGAAGGCAGCAGCACCCAGAGCACTGTGTGGTGAAGGAGTTTAGAGCTCGTCTCCCCCTCCGTCATCCCCTCCCCAGGCAGCAGGACCATGGGGGAAGGGATGCTCCACAATGTGTCTCTCACACCCCCAACCCCCAGTTTCAGGCTTCTGTGTCTATGGCATGCACTGAGACTGCTTGTTCTCAATTTCCCACCCTGCTCTTGGGTGCTAGGCTGTGGTCTACTGATGGTGTCTATTCTGCATTCCCCACCCTGATCTCAGTGCTTGTGGCATTCACAAAGCCAGCCCATTCTCAGCTCTCTTGGTCTTGGTGATATGTCTGTGGTATGAACCAAGCAAGCCCATTCTCACAGCCCTCCTCATCCAGTCTCAGGGCTGCATGCCTGTGGTATGCCCATTCTCAGCTCCCTTATAGTCACCGTGCTGTTTCCTGTAATATGGTATATTACATATACCTGGCAAGCAATATAAAAGGCAAGAGGAGGTTCTTTAAATACATTAGGAGCAAGAGAAAGATTATTAACGTTAATGATAACCAGATACTCAAAACAATATTGACAACTGGGGGGAAGGAATGCAAGCCACAATAGGGAAAGAGTAGGTTAAAGAATTTTTAGATAAGTTAGATGTGTTCAAGTCAGCAGGGCCTGATGAAATTCATCTTAGCGTTCTTAAGGAACGAACTGAACCAATCTGGGAGCCATTAGCAATTATCTTTGAAAATTCTTGGAGGATGGGAGAGGTCCCAGAAAACTGGAGAAGGGCAAACAGTGCCTGTGATGGGTTGAATCACAGAACCCCCCCCCCCTTGGGGCTGCCAACTGATGTGCCAAGACTACTTCTGCCCCTGCTTTCCTGCCCTGGCAGCTTAGGACTTCAGTGCCCTGCCTGGTTTGAGCCAGACCCAGGGTCTGAACCACGTCCCCTAACAGCTGTAGGCTTAACTGAAAGCAACTTACAGAAGTGTTCCTGTCTTTAACACTCAGATGTCCAACTCCCAATGGGGTCCAAACAAAGAAATAAATAAATCCATTTTATCCTGTATAAAGCGTATACAAGGTAAAATCATAAACTGTTCGTCCTCTATAATACTGATAGAGAGATATGCACAGCTGTTTGCCGCCCCAGATATTAATACATACTCTGAGTTAATTAGTAAGTAAAAAGTGATTTTATTAAATACAGAAAGTAGGATTTAAGTGCTTCCAAGTAGTGACAGACAGACCGAACAAAGTGAATTACCAAGTAAAATAAAATAGAACGTGCAAGTCTATGTCTAAGAAACTGAATACAAATAAAATCTCACCAGTTCCAGTAAACTTCCTTCTACAGCCTAGTCTCCTGCTAGTCTGGGTCCAGCAATCACTCACATCCCCTGTAGTTACTGTCCTTTGTTCCAGTTTCTTTCAGGTATCCTTGGGGGGTGGAGAGGCTATCTCTTTAGCCAGCTGAAGACAAAATGGAGGGGTCTCCCACCGGCTTAAATAGACTTTCTCTTGAGGGTGGAGACC